TACAAATTTAAGGAAACAAATTGCTACAATGTTACAGATCTTCAATTGAAGGACAATGAGCAAGACATCCTTGCTGGAATTTTGGGACATGACATAAGAGTCCATCGAGAGTTTTACAGACTTCCACAGAATACATTACAAATTGCAAAGGTCAACAGAATTCTGATGGCATTTGAGAAAGGAAATATTGGAGAATTCAAAAACAAAGGACTTGATGAAATAGAAATCAACATAGATGGTGAGTAGTGTTTTATCCCATGATAAATTCTGCGTTTCACTCCTATGACACTCCAACTATTGCTTTTACTCAATCATTGTCACCCTCTTTAGTTGTATGTCAAATATGGAACTAGCATATAGGCTGGTCATCTTTCTCTAAATTGAAATGCCTGAATTTGTTGATGGAATTTCAATCAATGATTATGGGGAATTGCTACTAGTATCAAATATACACTAGCCAAAGATTATCAGTATTTGCTGACACTGTTAAAGATAACAAAAAAATGCCCCCTTGTACATGATGTGCCAGCAGAAAAACCTGAATGACTGATAGAATGAACAGTCTATTGTGTATTGATATTAGGCTAGGCTCAATGACACTGAACAATCTTTGCAGTAGTTATGCTGTAATCTCTTTGAGCACTGTCTTAGGACGAGAATTGAAATAAGTCGTATGATATTTGTCATTTGGCTTACTAACTTTTCAAAATTGTGTGAATTATAGATGAATGTGAGAATGAAGACCTACTGAATACTGGTAATATCATTGAAGATGAGGAATTTCAAGAAATGAATAATAATAATACAGATATAAATGGAAAACTACAAGACAAATGTATGCATATTGATGATGAAGATGTTTCTAAAGGTTTGTTCATATATTTAGTGTTCAGTTTAATTCACCATTTCCTAAGGCACTTGGTGTTCAGCATAAAGGGACTATAAGGTCATTGGGTTTGTTTTATATCTATATGTGTATCAACTGATAGGAAAAGTATTTATTGTGATAGGGTTTTTGAATGGTTTATGTTGTTTTACAGGTGATGTAGATACAATGAAAGTAGGGCCCTACTCGATAATGAAGAACAGTATATTGGACCTGGGCCATAAAAAACAGCTGTCAGATGATATTGTGAACTCTGCTATTTATATTGCCACAAGAGAGAAAAAGGTATTTATTTTATGTTGAAAGGTTTATGTTTATGTTTATGTTTATGTTGAAAGTATTTATTTTATGGCTGAATTGGGAAGCTGCGTTTAAGATTTAATTGCATATTGAATGATAAAGATTTTGGTAAACTTTTACTTATTGCTGCTCAATGGAAAGAAATCTTGTTTTTTTATAGATATTCTGGTACAGGGTATTCCTGACCCTGACAGTGATAATTTGTTCAAAATTGATAGACTTTGTTCACTTTCAATGTCACTTTTAATGAAACTTAAATTGGTATGATAACATATTTGGTTGTATTTTTCCCAATATTGCTTTTGTAATTTGATATTTGACTGGTTACCATTGGTATTTGTGTTATTTAGTCTGTTTTTGTTTATGATGATTGTGGAGTGTGGGTCTCTCTGATTTTCTTTTCTGTCAACATAACAGCATGACAGATTAATGGAGGGGAGGGGAGGGGGGTCTCTGATTCACAACTTTCATTGTTGACCTGACCTCAATGGGAATGCCTTAGATATATAATGATCATCAATTAAAAAAAGTGTTTAACATTTGACACTCATTCATTTATAAGTCACTTGAGTAACTATACTAGAATCTGTTAATAATTTGTGCTACTATTTAAAGATGCATTCTGATTGACCATTCTCTATGAAAGTTTGTCAGGTCTGTGTTGAGCATTCACAATCGGACAAAATGAATTTTATTTATTTAGATTGAGTTATTCATGCACTGTTCATCACTTTCTGATGCTATCTGATGTGAATATTATGTAAAATACAGTGTATATGTATTGAAATATATTTTTTCTCATTTGTGCATACTATCCAAAGTGT